TTTTAGCTTAAAATATTATTTAAATTGACTATTTATAAGTCATACTAACCTTAAATGCCTCTAATGAGGTCAAAAATATCTCTAGAAGGGCCAAAAGTGTAGGGAAGGAGTCCAAAAACCCTAATCCAACCCGAATAAGCAGATTAGAAGTCGTGGAGCACTGAGTCGTGTTGAAGCTAAGCATTGCTAAAGAGAGTGATCGAGTTTAGTTTGTGGGTCTATCTTTGGGACAGGAGTGCACGCGAGTTGTAGAACTAAGTTGGGGCAGGAGTGCACGCAATGTGTCATCGAGGAGGTTGAGCCCCAAAGGGGGGGTGGACACGAGACGGTGTGCCAACAAGGACGTTGGGCCCCAATAGAGAGTTGACTGGGGGGTCTCACATTGATGGGAGAAGGGAACGAGTGCTAGCGAGTACGCTTGGCCCTAAAGGGGAGTGGTTGTAAGATCCCACATCGGTTGGAGAGGAGAACGAAACACCCTTTACAAAGGTGTGGAAACCTCTCCCCAAACATGTTTTAAAAACCTTGATGGAAGCCTGAAAAGAAAAGTCTAAAAGACAATATCGAATAGCACTGGCTGTTACATTTAAAATGGCCCTTCTTTTAAGAAAATCGAAGAGAAATAACTTTTGGAAAGCCAAGTTTAGCCAAATTTTTCATAATTATTTGAGCCAAGTTTTTCATTGTGTGAACTTAATTTTTATAGATTCTTTGTGAAAATGTTTCCAACTTTGATGAAGAACAAAGTTGAAATGAGTTGGGTGGAAAACATATGAAAATGGGAGGATTTATGCTCAATAATAGAACTTGATATGTGCTAGTATTATATGTTAAAATAAACATGGGTCTCTCAATAGAGCTCCTATCTACAAGAGAGGCCACATGAGTACTTCATAGTTGGCAGACACAAGGGTCACTCCCTCTTAGAACTTGACACGATGTTATGGATGTTATGGATCTGTTCACCAATAATCTTTTGTAGATAAAAATTCGGTAATGATCAAATTTATTCCACGATGACCCTAGCAAATCATTCAGTATTGGAACTAAAAAGAGGTAGCGCCTCATAATTCTAAGATACACAGGATCACAACATAGGCATAAATAAAGTGGCTAACTAATTTATCTTAAGGATCCTATACTTAACCTTAAGGATCAGATATGCCCTAAGGAACTTCGTGGTCAAATGTCACATCTATTGAATCGATATGGCAACCCTAGAAGATGAATAAGGTTTTAAATAAAAAAAAGTATTTAAATATGCTTAATTTTCTCATTTAGATCAATTAAAGATCACAATTAACACATCAAAGTATAAAAATAATAATTCTATTCAAAACAATAAATAATTATGAAAGACTTAGAATATGGAATACATCACAATATTAATTTCACAGTTTAATAGGGAAGAGTAAGAAAATTTAACACTGTACTCTTTACGGTGGTTCGATCAAACTCGACTTACTCCATTCACCAAGTACCTATTGAGAATTTTGAAAAATACCTTACTTAGACTCTTTCCACATATCAGAGTAAAACTGCTACAAACTCTTTTTACGAGTTTAACACCAAATTCAATCTTTTCTATGACTCAAATCAAACCGTTACCCATATTGAAAATTTGAAGAATACACCTTCTTTCACAATAAGAAGAAACCAAAAAACTCTCCTCCCTATATTACTTTCCCTAAGCGCACCTCGCTCCTTCCCCTCAGGCTTATTACTATGACTTTTTTATTCCAAGGTAAAGCTCTGTTAATTTGTTTGCTTCTTTCCGGAGGTAAATAGATTCAGTAGCTCTTCCAGAAAGGCGAAACTAACACTACCCACTTAAATAGTAGATATATAATTTGAATACTCCAAAACAATATCCTCATACTACAATATCTCTATCTCCCTCAATAATTAAAAAATAAAAAGATCAACCACAGGAGTTTAAAAAGGAAGATGGAATAGCAAAAATCAATATTTCATGAACATATCTAAAAAGATATATGGTGTAGGAGAGGAAGTTGTTTGTTTCAGCTTGGGAAACCATTTTTCATCCTAGGCACCAAATTTGGGACTCAAAATCTCATTCCCAATTTTCATTTTTCATTCTTCATTCTATATTCTTTATTCCTCGTTCTCATTCTCGTTCTCATTTTCAACTAATGCTGACACCTCTTATTCCCAAGTAATAATCAATTTCTAGCGCCCATTAATCCAGTTAGTGACCATGGGCGACAACTGTTAAACAGAAAGTTCGCTATTTGTGAAACAAGTTGTTGAAGGACGATGGTTTTCAGTGTTCACCTCTTTTCCGATCATGATCGGTTGCGGTTCACCTTAGTTGTTCGGAACTTACTCCAAACTCTTAAAAACAAAATTTGACTACAATCAAACCCAACTTAATACTTTGGGATTTGCTAAAGATCTAGGCTCCAACCTCGGAGTTTTTATGGGGCTTTTCGCAGAGGTGGCTCCTCCGTGGATGATTTTCCTTGTGGGGATGTCCTCCAATTTCTTCAGCTACTTTATGACTTGGCTCTCCGTTTCTAGCTACGTCCCAAAACCCCATTTATGGCTAATGTTTGTTTACATCTATATTACTTCTAATTCACAAAACTTCCCTAATACCGTCGTTATGGTCACTAGCTTGGAAATTTTCCTGATCAACGCAGTATCATTTTGGGCCTTCTCAAGGGTTTCGTTGGCTTCGGTGGGCAATCCTAACTCAAATTAATTTAGCAATTTACTGCAATCAAAATTCTATCGATCTTCTCCTCCTTCTTTCATGGCTACCCTCCATTGTATGTTTCTTGTGTTTTCTTCCAATTTGGACAATCGAAGCTAGGAAGCATCCGCAGGAGCTCAAAGTGTTCTACCACTTGCTTTACGTGTCCATAGCGATAGTTGTGTTCCTCTTGTTTCTCACCATAACCCCAGAGAAACATTGCTTTCTCTCAGGCTGGCTATGCCGGTGGCGTCGCTGTCATCGTCGTCTTAATCTGTCTGCCCCTTCTAATAGCTATTGAGTTTGTAAAAAAAAAAAAAAAAAAAAAAAAAAAAAAAAAAAAAAAAAAAAAAAAAAAAAAAAATTCTATTCTATTTTCAANAAAGTTATTATTGTTATTTATTCAGTGAAGATTGTTATTGAATAAAGTGAACTTTACGATCATTAATCTTGAAGATGATAATATAACACATGCGGAAGCAATTTGGATCTTAGGCACTTTTAGAACATCAAGTATAGTAAATAACTAGCATGTTCATAAGTATTAAAACTTAATGAGTTTGAATACTAACCTTCTGTAGTTCAAATTCTTTTTTCCTCACGAACCGGTTTCGAACCACCACTAGTGTCTTCTCCACTATTCTCCGGCCTTAGAACGGGATTGTGGAATCCAGTGAGTGACTAAACTTGGGAGAGATTTTGTTTTTCACCAACAAGAACACCTTTCATGTATTATGATCACTCTATTTATAGAGTCATGTTTGCATGTTCATGCAAATTTGAGATCACCAAATTTTGACACTCAAAATTCCACTCAAATATTTAGGATTATGTGGCAAGCATGCATGCTTGAGTCAACCAAATTTTGACACTCAAAATTCCACTCAAATTTATGGGGTTTTTTTTGGCAAGCATGTAAGTTTGGTTAAACCAAATTTTGCCACCTCAAAATTCCACTAACATGGATTTTTCCATTAAATGAAGTCAACATTTTGACTTTCTTCGTTTTGATTCAACAATCGAATTATTAATTTCAGATTAAAGTAATATTAAATGATTAATTAAACTATTTAATTAATATTTAATATTAATTCAAATGTCAATCCCAATTAATTCCGACACATATTTGATTAAGATATTTAAATCTTATTTAAATATCTAAGATTCTCTCTTTTTGTTTAATTCATAAATAAAACAAAAAATGTGGTTAAATATATCGTATATATGTAACGCATTCTCCCTAATTTGAATTCGAACACTTCAAACTCACTCATCATATTGTTCTATGGTTTAGTCCGATATGAGCTAGCAGATGGACCTAATGGACCTATATATCATCGGCTCCAACGATCCAAGATTAACCGGTTAAACTCATTAACCTTGTTAACCAACATTCGTTAACTACTAAGACATTCCACTATAGCCTAGTAGTTGCACTCCCCTCACTATAGATATATTTCTGTCCATTTGATATAAGCATGATTAGTAAGTCGATCCTTCATAGGTTGTTCGTAACTAGAGCTGGGTCAATTTATCGTTTTACCCCTGAAGTTACTTCTTGTTTCTTATGTCTCATTGATCCTCTAATGAACAATTGGTTTGTGGTCCAACCAATAAACTGAATCCCTCTCAGGCCAATGAGAGGGTGGGGCCCCTTGTTCAATACCTAGAGTCGGTTCTTAAGGGAACTATCTCTCTTCTATCCCTAAAAGTGGGTAGGAGTGAATTCCATCTTACACCCCACATCCCCAACCATTTACCCAATCTTACTCCTGAAATGGGAGGCCTATTGAGTCGGCGAACTTGAGCCACTCTCACCCATGCAAATCTAAGGATAATTCCGAATAAACAGGAGTTCATGGTTAGCTCAGGATTGAGATCGAGTTACCTAGGTCATCGAATGAAAAGAAAATTAGTCTCAACAGTAAACGACATTATAAAGTGAGAATGATTTTCTTCATGGTTCGATCTTATGCAATACTCATTGCATAGGACGCCCCCACTCACATGTCTCCACATGTACAACTTTAGTGATCACATTGTTTATATCATATACAAAAGTGGGCCGCATCCATAGTGTCCCTAGAATAAGGTACTCAGCCTTATCCTTATACTATAGATCATTTTGACTATATACTTGAACTTGATCAACTCTTATGTCTCTACATATAGTTCAAGTAATCATACTATAGCCAGAGTTTCTTTGCCGAGTGTCACAAATGTATGTAAGGAGACGCAAAGAGGAGAAAACTTCAGCATCTTGCATGCTCTTCTAAGCAAAGATATGACTCTTATTTTCATAGCAACGATCTCTGCATGTGGGTCGTCCGTTGCAGCCATTGACAATCTTGGGCAGATCGCCGAGTCACTTAAATATCCAAATCATTCCATAAGTATTTTGGTTTCATGGATTTCCATATTCAAGTTCTTTGGTCGGATCTTCTCTGGTTTCATCTCTGAAACCCTTATCACCAAATACAAATTACCTCGCCCTTTCATGTTTGGTCTTACCCAACTTTTCACCTGCACCGGCTTGCTCTCCAACGCATTCCCTTATATAAATTTAGTCTATGTAGCTTCGTTGATCGTTCGGTTTGGCCTTGGAGTCCAAACTCTATTGATATTTGCCATAATCTCTGATCTCTTTGGCCTCAAACATTACTCGACACTGCTCAACTGTGGGCAACTGGTTGTCCCACTTAGATCTTATATAATGAACGTGGAAGTAATAGGGAGGTTTTACGATGCCGAAGCCACTAAAATTGGAAATGTGAAGAACGGAAAGGGCCTAACTTGCACTGGAACTCATTGCTTTAGTGAATCGTTCATGATTTTGGCTACACTGACTTTGTTTGGAGCGATGACTTCGTTTGTGCTAGCTTATAGAACTCGAGACTTCTACAAAGGCGATGTATATAAGAAACACAGAGATGACATATAGGTTGCACAGTCGAACCTGAAATTATATTCTTTCGATGATAAGAACAATTAACACAAAAAGAAAACTGATGATCGAATTAAATATGAGAAATTGCTCAATAAAAATATACATACTTTAGGACATTCTACTTTACTTTTAACCTTTTGATTCTTTGTTGAAGATGTTTCATTCTTTTGTAAGAATATGTGACCATTTATATTATCAAGACATTGCATGACTAGCAAAACAAATTGTGGATATGGGAGAAGGGAGTTTGAAAATTAATGCTTTTGAAACACTAGTGGTTGATATATCTGATATCAACGTCTTTTTATTTTCTACAATTGACATACTTAACATTTGATATGCCAACAATATGTACAATGACTCTCTTTTTGAGATATACAAAATACAGACGGCCACTCTTGACTTGGAATGAAAATCGGCTCGATAATTTTTATAATTTAAAAAACAATAGTTATGATTGTAATCGTCACTGGTACAAGTGTGGAAGGAGTCAAAGAGTTCAAGCAGCAAATGATGAAAGAATTAGAGATGGCTGATCTCGGATTACTCACTACTATGATATTAAAGTACACCAAAGAAAAGACATCATGCTAAATCAATCGCCCTATATTAAGAAGTAGAGTGCAACCTAATCAAGTATCTCATAAAAGTAAAGTTACAACTTGAGAAAGATATTGAAGGAAGCTTGGTGAATTCTACTGAGTATAGGCACGCCATCGAAAGTCTGAGGTACTTGACTCATACTTATATCGACCTTTCATATGTTGTTGGAATGGTGAGTGGGTACATAGAAAAGCTTACTACAATGCATCATTAAGCGGTTAAGCACATTCTCCACTATGTGAAGAAAACCACGAGTTTTGGACTGAAGCATTAAAGAGGGAAAGATTCTGAAGAACTAGTCGATTTTACGATAGTGATTTAATTTGAGACATTGATGATAGAAAAAACACCACAAGAATCGCGTTTTATCTCAACAAAAATTTGATCTATTGGCGAAAACAGAAGCAGCGAACTGTGGCACTATCTTCATGTGAAGCCAAGTTCATTTCAGCAACTGTGGTATTGTGCCAAGCATTGTGACTGAGAAATTTGTTGAGCAAAGTGAGTAGAAGTAAACTAAAGCAACTCTCTGTGTCGACAACAAATCTGCAATTGCACTTATGAAAAATCCGATATTTCTCAAACACAGCAAACACATTGACATTCACTTCCACTTCATCTGTGAGTGTGTCGAGAACTTGAGTTAATAAACTTGATTTAATAGAATAAGTTACTATATTATTGAGTAACTTTAGGAGAATTTTTAGTAGACTCAGTAGAAAATGTTTTCACGAAGCAATTATAGGAAAATTGGTAGTAGTTGTAAAATTGTGAACTAGTTTTATACTCTAAATAGGAGGATGGTTAGTGGTTTGAGTAAAAAGTTTAGAAAGCTGGTTAGTTCTTTCTTTACTATAAATACTTATGAGATTTTTTCTTTCCTATAAATACTTATGAGATTTATGCTCTATTCACAACAACAACAAACAGAATTGAAAAGTTAAGTGGTTAAGGTTTCTTTGTTTCAAAAGATCTACCCTCAAGTTTTTACTTTGCTTCTTTTACTTGTTTCAACATATTTCGATTCTGGGTCAAATCCAATAGAGAAAAGATAAAATTGTTGTGGAGTTTGTATGCACTAGACAGCAACGTGTGGATATTCTGAACAAAATCAAGTTTACGAAGGAGATTGAGAGCTAATAAACATAACTTAGTAGAATAAGTTACTAACTTATATGGAGTAACTTTAGGAGAATGGTTAGTAGGCTTGTAGAATAAGTTACTCATTTATGGAGCAAAATTAGGAGAATTGTTAATGGTTGCAAAATTGTTGACAAGTTTAGTGTTTTAATTACGAATATTGTCCGTGATTCTTAAATTGAGAAGAAAGTTTAGGAAATTAATCTGCGTTTTCTCCACTGTAAATACTTATCCGATGTTGCTCTTTTCACAGCAACAAATAGAATTGAAAAGCACAATTGGGAAAGGAATATTGAAAGAGATAGGAAAACATAAAATAGATCAAAATTGCAGTCCTTTATTGTTGTTTTCTCACTCAATACTTGTTCTATATTTAAAGAGTTACAAAATTCCAATATTTATAGACTTATATAGTAACCAGAAATAGTAAATTATAGAAATCGTAAAGTCTTGGTACTTTGAATACTTTGAATCATATCTCATTACTTTGATTCATATCTCATCACTCCCCTTTGATTCAAAGTTGCAGATGTCAAGTAATTGTTTGGAGTAGCAGAACTTTTCTTTTGACAAAGCCGTAGTAAGTATGTCTGCTTTAACCCGCTTAATGTCTGTTTCAGCTTGTATACCTTTGTTTCTCTGTATTCTTTATGAATCCCTCTAGCCTCGTTACATAGACATCTTCTTGTAAATCTCCATCAAACTGATAAACAGGCCACCGCAATGGACTAGAACTCCCACGTAAATCTCCATAAACTTTTCGTTTGGTAAGTCAACCATATCCCATGTTCCATCTTTCTCAATGGACAACATCTCTTCTACCATGACTTTCTTCCCCTCTTCTTTCATGACTCATAGGGTTGAAACAGTTAGAGCAAATTGACATGATGCATATATATGTCAGCTAAAGATTTATACTTCTTAGAGGTGTCTCATCCGAAAATTCTTCAAGAGAAGAGTTGTTGTTTAATGATGTTGAAGATGATGAATTTGACAAATTTTGTGTTGTAGTGGAAGCACTAGGAGATGTACTGGAGTTGACCCTTGTCTTCTCATCAGGAGAAACTTCAACGGCGGTCTCTTTTGTATCATTATCTAATAGTTTTATCTTACCATGACTGGTTTCGACTCTCATTGTGCCTTTTTCCTCAACTTGTATCTCTTTTGTATTTTCAATTCTTTGTGTCTCATCAAGCTCTTGGAATAAAGATTTGATGTCTGTCATATGGTTCTCTTGGAATAAATATTTCATGCATGTCATATGGTTCGAGCATCTGCTATCAACAAACAATAAGTCACATTTCTTTGGATTAATATCAATACACGCCATAAAAAGCTTTTCTTCTTCTTCTTTATTTTCTGATGCAAAATTCATTTGTTGATCTTTATACCAACAATCAGCTTTTGTGTGCCCATACCTTCTGCAATGGTAACATTGTATGATCTTCCTTATATTACTTTGTTCATTGAACTGCTTTTATCCATCATTTCTCCATCTACTCCTATTATCATGGCTACCATGGAAGTTGTGAAATTCTTCTCTTCCACGACTTCTACTTGCTAAATGAATATTTTCTCTTTCGTTGCCTTCGTTGTTGGCTGCCTCCTTCACTTGTAGTGTCTTTTCTTCATTCCTTTTTGGTGATCTATTGATTCTTGACTCATGAGCCTGAAGTGAGCCCATCAGTTCATCAACAGAGAGTATTAATAGATCCTTAGCTTCTTATATGGCAGCCACCACATGGTTAAACTTTGGAGTTAAGCTTCTCAACACCTTTGCAAAAATTGTTTCATCTGAAATTTTCTCTCCATAGGTACGTATCTGACTGACTATTGTCATTGCTTTTGACAAAAAGTTAGCCATTGATTCGTCATTCGTCATAAGCAGAGTTTCAAGATTACGTCTTAGAGATTGCAATTTCACTGTTATGACCTTCTCAAGGGTTTCGTTGGCCTTGGTGGGCCATCCTAACTCAAATTAATTTAGCAACTTATGGCAACCAAAATTCTATGGATCTTCTCCTCCTTTCATGGCTACCCTCTATTGTATGTTTCTTATGTTTTCTTCCAATTCGGACACTCAAAGCTCGGAAGCATCCACAAGAGCTCAAAGTTTTCTACCACTTGCTTTATGTGTCCATAGAGATAGCGGTTTTCCTCTTGTTTCTCACCATAACCCAGAGAAACATTGCTTTCTCTCAGGTTGGCTATGTCGGTGGCATCGCGGTCATCGTCGTCTTAATCTGGTTTCCCCTTTTGATAGCTATTAAAGAAGAACTTTTTCTCTTCAAACTCGGTAAACAAACCATGAATCCTTCTGTTGTTGTTTCGGTTCCCCGTGAGCAACTTGAAGAAATTTCAAAACTTTCTTTGCCGAGTGTCTCAAATGTATGTAAGGAACCGTAAAGAGGAGAAGATTTCAGCATCTTGCAAGCTCTTTTAAGCAAAGATATTTCTCTTATTTTCATAGCAACAGTTTTTGTATGTGGGTCGTCCGTTGCAACCATTGACAATCTTGGGCAGATCGCCGAGTCACTTAAATATCCAAATCATTCCATAAGTATTCTGGTTTCATGGATTTCCATATTCAATTTCTTTGGTCGGGTCTTCTCCAGTTTCATTTCTAAAACCCTTACGACCAAATACAAATTACCTCATCCTTTCATGTTCGGTCTTACCCAACTTTTCACCTGCACTAGCTTGCTCTCCATCACCTTCCCTTATATAAATTCAGTCTATGTAGCTTCGTTGATCATTGGGTTTTGCAAAGGGACCTCTAAACTCCATTGATATTCGTCATAATCTCTAATCTCTTCGGCCTCAAACATTACTCAACACTTCTCAACTGTGGGCAACTGGCTGTCCCACTTGGATCTTATATAATGAACGTGGAAGTAATAGGGAGGTTTTAAGATGCCGAAGCCACTAAAATTGGAAATGTGAAGAACGGGAAGGGCCTAACTTGCACTGGAACTCATTGCTTTAGTGAATCGTTCTTGATTTTGGCTGTAGTGACTTTGTTTGGAGCGATGGCTTCATTTGTGCTAGCTTATAGAACTCGAGAGTTCTACAAAGATGATGTATATAAGAAATACAGAGATGACATGGAGGCTACACCGTCAAAGTGGAATTAAATTCTTTCAATCATAAGAACAAATAACACAAAAAGAAAACTGATGGCCGAAGTAAATAAGAGAAACGGTTCATATGAAAGACAATTTATTGTAGATGAGAAGATGGCTACATTAGGA